AAGTCTGACGGCGAGATCCGCCGCTTCTGCCAGGCGTTTATGCGCGAGCTGTCCAAGCACATTGGCGCGGATACCGACGTGCCCGCGGGCGATATTGGCGTGTCCGGCCGGGAGATTGGCTACATGTACGGCGCGTACCGACAGGCGAGAAACCGCTGGGAGGGCGTGTTGACCGGAAAGGGATTGAGCTGGGGCGGCTCTCTCATCCGACCTGGTAAGTTTGTCCATCGTCGACCGGGCTCGCTGGTTTCTTGAATGAGATTTGCTGATGAAGTCTGAACAGAGGCCACGGGCTACGGCCTCATCTACTATGTGGAACACATGCTCGAGTACGCCGGCCGCGGCACGTTTGCCGGCAAGAAGGTGGCCATCTCTGGCTCGGGCAACGTCGCGCAGTACGCGGCCCTCAAATGCATCGAGCTCGGCGCCACGGTCGTCTCGCTCTCCGACTCCAAGGGCTCGCTGGTGGCGGCCGCCGACAAGCCCTTCACCGCGGAACACGTCGACCAGATTGCCGAGCTCAAGGTGCAGCGGCGCGCGCTGTCGGAGCTCGATCACGCCGGGCGGTACACGTACGTCGAGGGCGCTCGTCCGTGGACGCACGTGGGCGCCGTGGACGTTGCGCTGCCCTGCGCGACGCAGAACGAGGTCAGCAGGGACGAGGCCGAGTCTCTGGTGGCCAGCGGCGTCGTCGCCGTCGCCGAGGGCTCCAACATGGGCTGCACGCAGGAGGCGATCGACTTGTTTGAGGCGGAGCGGCGCAAGAAGGGCGGCGAGGCTATTTGGTACGCGCCCGGCAAGGCGGCCAACTGCGGCGGCGTCGCCGTCTCTGGGCTGGAGATGGCCCAGAACTGCCAGGTATGTCGACTGCTGAAAATCCCTTTCTTTCTCTGTGTGTGCTGGATGGGTAACACGGTGCTAACGTGTCTTGATAGCGACTCACCTGGACCGCTGAGGAGGTCGACGACAAGCTCAAGGCCATCATGAAGAACGCCTTTGCCAACGGCCTCGAGACGGCGAAAAAGTACGTCGAGACCAAGGAGGGCGAGCTGCCTTCTCTCGTGGCCGGCAGCAACATTGCTGGCTTTGTCAAGGTTGCGCAGGCTATGCAGGACCAGGGCGATTGGTGGGCCTGAGTGCCTGATTCATGACGGTGGCCTTTTTTTGATGTATTTCACGCATGGGATTGGGATATGGAGTTTTTATTTTTATTTTTATGGCGTTGCGATACTCTACGATACTCTACGATTGTGGCTTGAGATTCCCGACAATGTTGGATTGTCAGCTGGCTTTTTTGATGGGTCTTGGAATAGATTGATATCATGATGATGCATGTTGCTTGTGCCGTGTCTCGTCATGTTCGGCCCGTACAAGTGCGCTAGTATGGTGTCTTGTTGCCAGAGGGCCAGGTTTGTGTGAGAGGCCGCCCGCTTTGGGGAAAGCATCAATAGTCGGAGGGAAGCGGTATTGTCTATTGCCCGCCTGTATATGACGCTGTTGCGTGAAGCATAGCCCGTTGGCAACTAAATACGTGGGCAAAAAATTACAAATAGTCTACATCGTCTCTAGAAGCGCATCATGGAGCGCGCCATCTCACGGACTTGGGTGGAAATCTGGCGCAGTAGTCGCCGCGACGTGTTGGTGTCACGCCTGGCTCTACTTGCAGTCAGAGGCAAAAGTCATCTTGCCACCAAGTATACACGGATATACTGTGGTATACCACATAGCGCAACAGCCGGATACCTGGCCAAGTTGACAGACGGACAATCGACAGATTCGCAACAGTCCACGTATAGGTAGTGGACAAGACAGGCATGCCGACTCCTTGCCCAACTCTGTCGAACCTCGGAACGGCATGCTGCTGATGGTTTCCTGCATTGTCCTTGCTGTCAGCGACGTGGGGGTGAGAGTAAGACGTCACGGCGTCTTGGCAGAGTGAAGCCGGGAACTTTTGGTGCCTGACGCGGTCCGTCCTGATACGAATCTTGACTCATTTCGCTCATCTTGGCCAACATGCGCCATTACGCAATTCGAAATCGCTAGTGTAGCCAGACCTGTCAAGCTTTGCAGTAGCATTTACTACGTCTGCTAGCCGAACCTTGCAGAGTTGGCGCCAAAATCCATCCTACAAAGCCCGAGTATATAAACCATCGCTGGTGCCACCACCTGCTTCATTCCAGGCTGCCGAGGTTGACCTCGGAGGGATAGCACGCGTTTCATCACCGCTCTAAACAGCTCAGAAGGTGTCAACTTTCTTCAGCAAACAGATGCAGGTGATGAATCGAGATCAAGGGGGTTTATAAAAGGATAGCAAGCTGTTATCCCCTCAAAGAACTGAGGTATTCCGGCGATTTTTTTTTCTGGTTTTTTTTTTTTCGCTTCATCAGCCTTGGCTGAGTGGGTTCCGCTCTGGGCACTGTCTCATCACCGGTGTGAACAGCTCAGAAAGTCGTATTAAACAGATGCCAATGATGAAACGAGACCACAGGGTCTGTAACAGAATAACAAGCTGTTATCCCGTTAAAGAACTGAGGCACAAGGCGATAAAGACAAGAGGGAGGTGTGAAGGGGCATAGGAGGATGATGCAAGAGATGAGCAAGACCAATAAAGGGTCTTGAAATGTGCCGATAAATGAAGACGAAAGGTGACCAAGGAAGAAGAAAAAGTTGACAAGACTGGGGAGGAAGGGTTTTGTATACTAGGACTAGCACCTTTTTACTTGTCTTGAATGGTAGTATCGGGACATCTGGATTTTCAGTCGTGAATTGCAAGTGCCAGCCCTTGACACCGACCCGCTTATAGCAATGAGCCACGTGGAAAGTGGGACCACGATCAAGAGTGTCATCTCTTTTCGCTCGTGGGGACTCGCTTACCTAAGAAATTTGCATGGGAGTGGACTTCTCCACGAGCCACTCCGCAACTAAAGAGATGCTGCTCGGTAGGAGTCGCTAAGTTATCTTCAGCTACACCTTTGTTTCCATCATTTTTATACACGATACGAGGCAGGGAATGGCAACCACAACCGTCGCACCGCCTTCGCCCGTCTGACTCTGCGTGGATTGGATCCTGTTCTGGAGGGCCTGCTTACGGCCATCGACTAGACAACGTGTCTACATGTGCACAATTCGCTTCTCTTGCCGAGTTCAACGACTTCCTTGTTGCCCCTGTCAAGAACTGTCCACGACCTGAATTGGTGGCTAAATATCGCAACATGCTCTCTGACGAATTCTATATACTTTTTGCGCATGAAAACGGCTCTGTCACTGGAACGGCGGGCTTCTGATCTCAAGGGTGGGAATTCAACACGGCCTTATTTGGTTCTCGGCCTCGGCAGTGCTGCATGGACATTATGAAGCAAACCACGAAGGAGTATCCACCAGAAACTGAGACTGATATGGACATTGAACTGTTTCAAGCCGAGTGGTCTACTCTCACCCACCATCGGGCCAACTCTTGCGAAAACCTGATTTGGCGAGATGCAGGTTTTCCGGGCGTCTGTAGCACGTTCCGTCTGTCCATCGGTTTGGGGCGGTACGCGAAAGGCGTCTTCGAATTTCTGCCAAGTAGCACAAGTCCGAAAACAAGAATCATTCACTGGCGCGTGGCTAGGCTGAAGACAGGAATACTACCGTCTCTCCACCAAGCATGACCCGACAAGTGCTTGCCGGCGCTCTTGGCGTCATGACATGCGTGTTGGTTGACACCGACTCCGGCAAGCTACCTCCTGCTTCTCCCGTACACAGTCTGACCGAAATTGGCATCAGTTTGGAGAAGCTCGGATTGTACAGGATTCGTGACTATCTGGTTACTACGATTTAAAGAGAAAGACGGGGGTTCCGGTCTTGGATCAAGGCATCATTTTGGCCAGATCCCATTTTCCGTCGAATTAGGAATAAACCGAGTTCCCCGCAGTGGCCAAGTCGTTTCGACCCCAAAGTGTATTACAACATGCATCCAAGCCCTGTAGTCTTGTGGCCGGTACGGAGTACATAGACTGAGGTCTTGACGCTTCTACCATGGACAATGCCGGAAACTATTCGCAACATGCAGGGGATGACGGATCAGAATACTCGGTAACTCGGTTGAGAATCAGGCCAGCAACAAGTTATGCTTATCAACGTACTGAGTATTTGATCCCTGCCGTCCGGTATGGCCTGTATGACTGCGGGCCCGATAGCGGCTTCGCTTAGCAGGTGCGCTTTGCGCATGCGGGCTGGGCCGTTTACGCATGAATCGGCCTTGTATGTATATCATGCGTGCTTGGGGTGCTGGCATGGGAGCCAGGTTGCGGCGGGCTGTCACTCCAGACGAGCTGTCCAGCTTGACGATTTGGCTTCTCAAAAACGGGCCTGCATCAAAACACTGTTATGCACCCATATTGGGCTACAGAAACGTCGAAGCATACGGAGTACTCCGTACTGCAGTCTGGGCCATGTATGCATGCATGCAAGTGACTGTAAGCACTTCTGTCCTTGTTGCCTCCCACATCAATTTCTTCAACCACAACATGAGCGTTTAGACACACGCAAACGGGCCAGACTATGAACCTGCCAATAGAGTAGTTCGGGCACGGCTGAGTGCTATATTGGCTAATTCTTCAAAAGGAAGTTCAAAGCTCAACCAAAGCAAGTTTCGAAGAAATCGACAACCACGTAGAAGCTGTATCGGCCCCGATTCCCGAATCCAAGATTCAAACTGGGTCTCGTTCCACTATTACGTCAATCCAGAGCGATAGAACAGGAGCACCAGCACACTGAGCGTCGCTCCAGAATCACCGCTGCCCGCCCATGCATACCTACTGCTTGGCACTATCTGCAGAAACCCTGTCCCCTACGCGGTGACATTGCATCTCGTATTGCGGGCCAAGCGAGGAATGATGCATGGACAGAAGAAACCAACAGCACTTCTAGCCGGCCTTGTAGCTTATATATATCTCGCCCCCGAGCACGAGACCGCATCCGATCTTGCCTCTCCAGTACATCATCCCACTCTTGACAAGATGTTGTTTTCTACTGCTTTCATCGCCATTGCCACCGCCGTCGCCGCCTCACCCGCGTGCGTGCCTCCCCCCGGTGTGCTCCCCAATGATATCGCAGAGGGCTTCACGATCCAGGTCCAGAATGCGTCCTTCCCCGAGATACACAACCTCTTGTTGAACCAAAAGGAGGGGGGCGGCGGCGACCAGCACCTGTCTCTGGGCCCGGATGGTGCGCCTGCAACCGGTTTGACGCTCGTCGAAGGCGTCATCACGCAGCTGAAAGATGGCAAGACGATTCGGGCCGTCATCAACGGCCAAGTAAGTTAGCGGCAGTCCATGTGGGCAGGTTGGAATCTAACGCACTGGTAGTATACCCCATTTGACAACACGACCAAGATGTTCATGACGGAGCGCGGTGACCCGCGTGCCGTGTATGATGTTGTGCGCCGCTGCAATCCGGAAACGCACAAGCTCCAGGAGGAGCTGGCGTTTAAGAGTCTGGCGGACGTGACGGGCGGGCATATATGCGTGAGGCGTGCGTCCGAGAAGAGGTGGGATGTACGCTACTCGCCTCCTGGAAATACTGGTACGTCTCGTCTTTGTCGTTTGTTGGGATGTCTGTACTGACCGGTTGAAAGCCGTTGATAATCCGGACAAGCTATGCATCAAGGTGACGTTGGTGGTGCGCCGTAATGAAGGCCAGTCGGTTCCGAATCTGCCGCCGGATGCCGAAAGTGCATCGTGCTAGTTGCGCCTACCGCTTTGAAATCTAGCCAGCAGGATGGCAAGCTCTTGGTTGCAAAACACAAGGCCTTGTAGCTGGTTGATTATCCGGGTACATAGGCCTCTTATATGAGCAGCTCATAACCCCCCTCTAAATATATAAAGATTGGCAGATGGCCGTGCCAAGCAACAACGCTCCATATGCATACTATCCTCAAATTTGAAGTTTTCCCAGAAAAACCTAGTTGGCCTTGATTCCGCAGCTCCCAGGGTCACTGTCACAAGTGCACTTGGACGCCGCGCCAACCCAGCCAGCAAGGCGGCTACGCAAAAGTCAGCAAATCTCACTAAACATGGCAACAAGGAAACCTACTTGGCAATATCG